GATTCTTCTGATTCTCGACTTTGTACATTTGAATTAGCTGTTAAAGACTGTGATACTTCTTTCTCTTGTAAGTTAGTATTGGATGTTCTTACTCGATGGAATTCTACTTACTTGATGGTTTATAGAGAAGTTGAGGCTAGATTAGCAATGAACTTGTTTGTTAATAAGGAAAATGAGTTAGATTTCATTACTGATCATGAGTGGGAAATTGTTCAAACAAACTGTGATTTTCTTGAGCCTTTTTATGAAATTACTATGATGTTCTTTGGTTCTAAGTATCCCACTTCTAACTTGTATTTGACTAATTTTGCAATTGAAAAATTATTGTGGGATGCTCATAATGATCCTTGTGAAGGTATTTCTGCAATGGCTAAACCCATGCTTGAACTATTTGAGAAATATTGGTATGATCACTCAATGATTCTGTCTTTTGCTGTTTTGCTTGATCCTCGATATAAATTACAAGTTCTGAAAGAGTTGTACAATGTTCTTTATATTGAGGATGAGGTTCAAAGGAGGGTAAGTTTCATTTATAATGAGTTTCTTGAGTTATATGTATTTTATTCAAAAAATACACCTTGTGGTTCTTCCGCTTCATCTTCTGTCCAAAGTAACAAATCCTTAGGCAGAAGTGAGTCAAGTTCTAATCGGCCTCAAGCTTTTAGAAAATCATATCTATTTTAGATTAGTAATTACAATTTTAAGTTGAATTTTATCTTATTTATTTCTTGTTTTCATTTACTAATTTTTGTCTTTTATTTTGTAGACTGTTGATGCCAATTTAGCTGCTTCAATGAGTGGACGATCTGATGTTGATTCTTACATCAGTTTGCCTCTTGTCCCTCATACTAGAGAAACTGAATTTGATATTTTGTATTATTGGAAAAATCAAAGTATTTCATATCTGGTACTTTCTCGCATGGCAAGAGATATATTGGCTATTCCAATTACTTCGGTTGCATCTGAATCGTCCTTTAGTATGGGAGGTCGAATTTTGAACAAATTTAGAGCTAAACTCTTACCTAAAAATGTTGAGATTTTTGTAACAACTCGTAATTGGTTGTATGGTTTTGAGTCGGATGATAAGGACGAAGAATACCTTTCTGTGGTTAACAAGTCTTCGTTGTAAATGTAATCCAAATTGTTTTTTTTTATGTTAATGTCATTAATATTTCAAATTTTTTATTAATTATTTTAATTTTTCTTTGTAATTTTTAGGGTGTTTAATGGTCCTTGAAATCATTCGAATTGGAGATTATGTCTTCTTTATTCCCTTCAAAGGTAACTTAATATTTTATATTTATTATGTTTATTTAATAAAAGTTTCAAATAGTTCATTAATAATTCTTTTTTTTGTAGGGTGCCTTACAAGATGCAATACTTGGTGCTTGATTCTGCTTTATTATGTTTTATATTGTTTGCTTCTGTTTTATATTGCTTGCTTCTACTTGATATTTGTAAGGGTTTGGTAAAGTCGGAAATGTTTGGCACTGTTGGCCATCGAATTCCCTTTAGCTTTACCATTGATTGTATGCTTTCTTAATGCAGGATGCTTGCTGAATCGATGCAACGATGCTTGCTGAATTGGTATATTGATGCTTGTCGGTTGCTGCTGTCTATTACTCACTGATGCCTTGTAAATTATTGTTGTTGGTCTAACTTAAATCAATTTTTGAACCTTATAAATTCTTATCTAAATAGTTACTCATGTAGAATTACGTTGGTGACATTTTGGCTTTTAAAGCTAGAAAGTTGCCCATAATTAAACATGTTAGCACGATGATGATATTTCTGGTAGTATAGTTAGGCTTTTTAGCCTTGTAAACATTAGTTATAAGATCTGAGAACATTTATTTCAACATAAATTTATTTTGTTTAGTTGATTTTATTGTAATTTTAGTGTTTTCAAATGTATTAAATTACCTTCATTTATAAATTTTTGTTTTAGTATTTGTAATGTTATTCAAGTTTTTAATCTTTAATAAGTCCATCATTTCAACTAATATATTTTGATTTTAAAATTTCAAGTTCAGTTTACTTAAATTATTAATCAAATTTCACATTAAAAGTAAATTAGATTTATGAATATTTAACTCAATTAATATAATTTAATAAAATCAAGTTCAATAAGATAATATTTAAATTTAATTTAGTGATTATAAATAAAATTTATAATATAATAAATATAAAGAATATTATGAATTGGAATTAACATAAAAACCAAATTTATAATATACAAATTATAATTAATATAAAAACTAAATTTCAAAAAGTAATCATAATAATTTAATTATCATAAGTTTATTATAAATTTAAAATAACATAATTATATTAATTGTAATTTTACTTATAAGCCAGGATAATACTAGATCACTTTATCGACATGTCGGATTATTTACAGGTTGAGTTAATTACAGGTCAGTTTCATAACAGGTCATGTTGAAAACAGATCGGGTAATACCAATTATTTATCAGGTCAATCTTAGGTTCGAGTTCAGGTTCATATCAGTCGGATGCAGTTCGGGTTCGAGTATCATATTTTCGGTTCAATTCAGGTTCTTGTCGTTCTCAGATCGGATGCAGGTCGAGTTCTGATCCACAATTTCCAAGTCTAACTTGGGTTCAGGTCAACAACAGTTCCGACTCGAGTCGGTTTCGGATCACCACAACGCATGTCAAAAACATATTTAACTCAAATCAATTTTAATCAATTTTACAGATCGGATCAACTTTTTACACCCTAGTCCTTGGAGAGTGGAACGACAAGCCTTGGAGGATAGACATTAGTTAAACCCACCGTAGGCTTTGCTGTGAAGTTGCAGGAACTGAATGAGTTAGGCTCTATTATGTGTTTTGTTGAAGTTTCTTTGTATTTGCTTTCACCGATTAATTTCTAGGAGCAAAGAGGTTGAAACACCAGCGGTTTCTAAAGTGATTTTGATTTCGCAAGGATGTAGTAATCATTTTATTAGCTGCTTTTTGCCTTGGGTTTTAATTACTTTTGATGGACGTGTGGACAGATGGCACGCATTTCCGTTTGTTGTTTTTATTTGGTTTAATAGAAAAATAAGTGTTTTAACTTTATCTTAAAAGACATTTGAGTGTTTAAAATAAATTTTTATTAAAAATTAATATTTAATATTTTTTTCAGTTATACTTTTAGGTATTTATCATTATTTTTTATTTTTTTATTTTTTAATAATAAAAATATTAATTTTTAATTAAAAATTTTAAAAAACTAAAGAAAATTTATTTATAAAAAACCTCAAACTTTTACTAAAATTATTAAAAAAACTCTAAAAAACTAAAATCTCTCATTTCAACATCCGATACTAATCGTCACCGACCATCCCCAACCACTTTCATCATCTTCGAACGATCACTCACCCGTCGTCACCTACCCATTGATCAACCATCTCCTTTACCTTCACCCAAATCCCTTAAATCTCTATAATCTCATATATTCAAATCCTTAAACCTTTAAAATCTTAATCTCCACGAATGAATGTTGAAAGAACACCGATTGAGCGATGACGAGGATGGGTTTTGAGTGGAATTGCACGGTGGTTTGAATGGTGGTGGTGTGGCTTATTGATGTCGATATCGATCGGAAAATAACGACAGTGACTTAAAATCCGACGAACCTCTAAACGCTTCTCCACAACAAACGATGCTAGCTTACGACGAAATGCCAACGAGGGTTTAATCAGGGATCGACACCGGTGCTATTGATTGTGGCGATGACGATCACAGTCACGATTGGCCGACCGGCCGATAACCATGGAAGGGGGAAAGGGGTTCACACGAGGTTATTGATTTTTTTAATAAAAAAATATTTTTATGTATTTATTTTTTAAAATAAATTCTCAAAATTACCAGAGATTGACATTTGTCATTTAACAGTCAAATTTAACATTAGATACCTAAAAGAGTAACGAAAAAAACGTTAGGCACATATTTTTAACAAAAATTTCTTTAGACAAACAATTTTCAATGCAAAATTTAAATACTTATTTTTCTATTAAGCTTTTTTAGTTTGATTAAATAAAGCTCACTTTTCTTTTGGTCAAAAAAAAAAACTTATAGATCTCCATAACCAAATTTAAATAAAAAAGTTGGTTATTATATTTATTGAAATTCATGAACGTCCATCCGATTAATAAAATGGATTAAAACTAATCCTTAACGACTTTTTACAGTCAATTGGCCGTATTCTTTGAGTAACATTAGCATAGACAATGCATTAGATATGGCAATTTTGTCTAAGCTAGAGCATATGCATTTACCACTCATGTCGTTATACTACCTAAACTAATGGGTATAAATTAATGGGTAAATTACATATTTAATATCTAACCTAACAATTTCGATCGTTTAAATGCCTAAACATTCAATTTTTTCAAAACAACACCTAACATTTAATTTGAGTTTCATTTTAGCACCTGTGATAAAAACTTAAGACATTCAGTACCTAAACTATCAGTTTTTATCCATTTTAGTATCTAAACTTTTAATTTTTTTAAAAATTTAATGTTAAGTATTAATATAAAAGCATCTAAATAAAATGATATAATTCACTTCTTATGCATTCAAATTAGTACACTTATTTTACTGAAAATTGTGAAATTATAAAAGAAAATGAGAGAAATAGGGACGTACAGAAACTATTCGTACTATTCACGGAAATAGAGTAAAATCTACTGTACTTGACAAAATCATCTTACGTTGAATACGACATTCAAAGTCGTCGTGTACCGAATAAAAAATATCTACCATGAAAGTCACCGACGACTTCAGGACAAGGCAGAGACTAAATTGAATAAAGCAAAATCTTTTACCTCAACTGACAATGACTTTGACAATTCGAGGGCGACTTCGAATAACATTACTAAAAAATTTGTCCTATTTCGCTAAACAATTCTCATGCACTCCTTTTCCCTTTTCTTTTCATTTTGCACAATATTTACCTAAATTATTATGCATGAAACTAGAATTTAAAAGAAAAGAAAAGGCAAAGCCCACAAAAGTTGATATACGAGAAACAACAAATTTGGCACATCCCATCAAACCTAAATTGAATGAGATAACAAGAACCGTACATATATAGGACAAGGCTAATTACTACTATGATAAAATTTAAAATCTCCTCTCAAGAACATTCCATCAAACCCAAAATGTCAAGGCTACAAAAAAGGGGGGAGACCAGATTTTTCTTTTCCTTTTTTACAGAAACACTTTGTGGGGGGAGGATATTGGAAGCACAGAATAAATGTCGATAAGCATACATACCTCAGATCGGTGATGTATGTTTGTGTGTAAGGGGTGTATCATCAGCAGGAACATCCTCCAGACTGTTGCTGCGACCGAGATGCATTTGGGTTTGAAGACTTAAGATTGACGTCGACCATGTCTTCTTGTTTTGTTGAAGAAAGTGTTTCCATTCCAGGTAAAGCGGCCGCAATCTTCCGAAATAGAGCCTGTCAAGAGATCGAACAGAGTGAGAAAACTCAATAGATTTGATCCATAATGCTGGGGAAGGGAGAGGACTTGCTAGTAACTATGTTGGTTTAACTTCAAATATGTAAATGTTGATGGAGCGATGACAAAGGGCTGGGATAAGGGAGGTATTGGTGGTCTGATTAGGGACAGCAAGGGCATGTTGATTAAATAGTTTTCAGAAAGAGTTGGGGGTGGTCCTCCTATCTTGGCAGAATTCTTGGCGATTAAGAGGGGGTTATGTCTCTTGGCAGATTTTAGTTCTGTTCTGAATCAGAGGATTATTCTTGAATCAGATTCAATTAATGCTCTGAAGTGGATAAAGAATCCGGGGTTATGCACTCCTATGTTTCATTTATTGGTGAAGGATATAGTCTCTCTTATGGCAGGGAAGGATATCATTATTAGGCATATATTGAGGGCTGCAAATTGGGAAGATGATAAATTAGCTAAAGATGGGATAGGGTGATGTTTTGGTTACTGTTTGTTTGTGTTGATGTGTAGGAATTTGTTCTGTGTTTAGCTGTGGTTTTTAAGTTTTATGTAATCCATGGGGATGTTAGCAGATTGTGAGGGTTTGCTTATGATGTACTAAAGTTTTCATCTATAAATTTCTAGGTACTCTTTTCCTCCTTAGTTGTCCTTCATGTTACTTGTATAACATGGAGGCTGCAAAAGGGGGATTTTAATGAGGCCTAAATTCTATCAAAAAAAAAACTTCAAATATGTGGACAAACTTAAAAACTTGCCCGACTTGCACACCCAAGTCCGAGTATCTAAAGTTAATCAATGCTAGCAATAAATGCCATGCAAGTGGAGCAAATGTTACTTCGAGAAACAAAAGGACTGAACAAACTTTCAGTGAATAGAATACCATGACGTTGATCTATGCCTAACCTCAATAATTTTCAACAGCATCAAACATGTAGTCAAATTATAGGAACAATCATATGACAAGTTAAAAATGGTTTACCTTGATATTGAAGCCAGCCTTGGCACTAGTTTCGATGAACATAACATTGAGTTCACGAGCCCTGGCTTCAGCTTCCTCAACTGAGACTTGCCTGTCAAATCAACCACAAAATGCACAATGATTGAACACAAATCAGGGCAAGAATCTGGGGAACTAAAGTAATGAAAATTAATGGTATGTTAATTTTCACAAGAAAGTTCAACTATAATAACAAATTGATATTACCTTTTGTCCACAAGATCGGTTTTGTTCCCAACAAGCACAATTATAACATCACTACCCCGTTCAGTTCGCACCTCTTCGATCCACTTCGAAGTATTTTGGAAGGATTGCCTACCTACAGAATGAAAATTAAAGTTGGCAACTTCAAGCACTTCCTTGAGCAGATAAACATCAACTTGTGAGATTACATCTCAAGAAACAGGCAAACATGCACAAACATAACAACTGAACAAGTAAATATATGGTACAGGAAGGTTCCAAATCAGGATGACAAAGTGAAATGCCGACATACTTGCAACATCATAGACAATGACGGCCACGGAGGAATCCCTAATGTAACTTGGAATAAGACTCCTGAATCTTTCCTGTCCTGCAGTATCCCTGTAATAAAGATTTAAGCAGATACAGAGTAAAGAAAAAAGATATAATCTTGTAAAGCTAGTCCTTAAATTCCTTCTCATTTTCTTTCCTCTCATCATTCCGTTTTGGAATGATTTGTTTTTATGCCTTGGTATGGAAAATGGTCATCTTTGCTATTTTCTATCCTATCACAATTCCTTCTAGCCGAACATACTCAAAATTTATTTTCTTTCAATTTTTCCAGTCTCCAATGTCCAACCTCCACTTTTCCCCTCAACCAAGAGACAAACCTAAATTCAGGAATACATCAATAGAGGAGAAAGATTTGCTACATGCTGAATATGATACAGGAATACAGCAAAACAAATTCTCTAGTATGTCGTCCCACCAGCTATATATAATATATACATATTAAAAGAAGCAAGGTTTGGGAAAGATATCTAAACATACGTCGAAAAAGAAGAAGAATCTAAATTCGATATAACACAGTAAGAAAAGCTTAGACACAAGTCCATAAAAATCCATAATGCATCAGATAAGAAAATTCAAAAATTGATGTCTTACCAGAGCTGCAGTCGAACTGTCCGATCTTCGAGGTACATTGTTTTCGACAGAAAGTCAATACCAATGGTAGCCTGATCAACAAATTAAAGATACAGATAACCTTAGAACCTAAAACACCAAAGGAACTCAGGCAAAACAATAAGAAATATGAACCTAATCAAACACCACAAATCAAAGGAATAAACAATCAGATCGAAGCTGATAAGAAAGTTTTCAATCTGAACCCAAAGAAAAAACAGAAAGAAACGTAAAATTGAGAGAAATACCTGGTAAGTGTTATCGAATTTGTCGTACATGAAGCGAGTGATGATACTTGTCTTGCCGACAGACTGATCCCCCAAGAAAACAAGCTTGTATTTGGCCAAAGCCGAAACTGGAGCCATGGAGATTTGGATCTAGGTTAAACAGACACTACGGATCGGATCGAGATCGTATCCAAACTCGAGATCCCACCGGAAACAATTACAAAGGTGTCGCCGGAGAGAACGAGATCGAGATCCCTAGCGTTTTTTTTTTATTTCTTATAATAATTTTGGTGGTTATTTATTGTTCGCAGTGAGTATTTATAGTTGGAGAGTCAGAAAAGGCGAAAATTATGTTGAATATATTTCATGTAGTTTTCATACATATAATGTTAATTTAATCTTAATTTCACACATTTTCATTTGATTTTTACATAATCGATATTTTAATTCGAGTTTAGATTGAGTGAAGTAAAGTTCTACGAAAGATGATGTTAGAATAAATTCAGATTTTTAGGGTTAAAATATTCAATTTGATCCAAGAATAATAGTATAATTAATATTTATATATTTAAAAATAGTTATTGTAATATTATTCTCTTTATATTTTTTAATCATATTCTTATTTTATCAAATAAAAATAATATTTTCATATTCAGATCAGGTTTTTACCTTAAAGGTCTGGCCAAATGAAACTTTTTTTAACTCGAATTGGATCGGGTGTCAAGTGAGAGTATAGTTCTCGTCAAATTCGGATCGATCAAAATTTTAATCCAAATTGATCTGTTATAATCCCTAATATAACTCGAGCCTAAGTTTTTTTTTAAATAATTTTAAGAGTTAACTGCAACACGTGTCCTTAATATATGACATTATTTTACATTTGTCCTTTTCAATTTTATCCTTCAATTATGGCTATCATTTTAAATTAATCTTCAAACTTTTGAACATTTCATTTTCATCCCCAAATTGTGATCTTCATTCTAAATTGGTCCCCAAACTTTTTGAATATTTCATTTTTATCCTAAATTATATGTATATACTAATCACATCTCTTGTTAATAAAATCATTAGGCCAAGTTATATTATTATATGTTTGAAAAAATAAAATTTAGGTTAAACTATGGTTGAAATTGATTACATATTTGGATGAAATTATAAGATATACAAGTTTAGGGATCAATTTAGAATGAGATTCATAGTTTGGGATGAAATTGAAATGTTCAAAAGTTTAAAGACTAATTTAGAATGAGAGTCATAATTTGAGGATGTAATTGAAATGTTTAAAACTTTAAGGACTAACTTGAAATGAGGTTCATCGTTTTGGGATATATGATATAATTAACTCATTTTTCATTGCTTTATTTGGTATGAATAATTAAGGAACAATAGAAAATTTGTTAATAAAATGGTTATGATAAGGGACGGAGCCAAAACTAGATCTCAACAGATGTCGAATCTTTTTAACAGCTTTAAGTTATATATATAATTTTACCTTTATTATTTGTTTATTTCAAAAAATATAAATGATAACATCAAATATGCATAGTTCTATATTTATATGAAATTACAAATTAAAAATTAAATTAAAGTAAATAATAAAAAATACGATTTTAAAAAGTGCAAAAGACATAACTCAAGGCCGAATATTTGCATTACCTTTATAAGATTTTCGTTGTAATGATTGAGAAGGTGAATTAGTGTTTTCTAATATTTTCTTCATAAGATGTAAAATGAAGACAAAATCAAAGGAAATCAAAGTCTCTAAAGTTGTCACCGCTTCTCCACGTTTAGAAGATGTACTTTCTTCATCAATGAATTTATATAGAACAACACAAGCGGCACTAAATATTTTTATCAAGCTTGAAATTGATCTCAAGTAAAAACCCCATCGAGTATCACATGCCTTCTGCAAATTACTTGTTTGATTCAAACTAGTTCCAGTTTCAAGTTGTTATTCTTCAATTAAATGATTTATCTCGTCAAAATAAGCATTTTTTAGTTCATCGATGCGCTTATATGAGGCAAGAACAACATTGATAATAAAGGATAACTTGGAAAAAAAATTATAAACAAGTATGACCTCTTTCGTTGCAGCTACTAGTGTCAACTGTAAACAATGGGTAAAACAATGCACATAGTAAGCAAAAGGACACTCATTGCTAACTAATGCTTGTAACTCATTCCGCTTTCCTCACATATTACTTGCACTATCATAACCTTGTCCTCGAATATTCTTTATGTAAAAGAAATAACGAGAAAGAACAAAACAATATCTCATCTTTTAAAGCCACTACTGAAGTATTAGGAACATGAATAATGCTAAAAAAAAATGTTCTTTTACTAGACCAAAATTATCAACATACTGTAAAATAATAGCCATTTGTTATTTTCTTGATACATACTCTACCTCATCAATAATAACACAAAATTTTTCTTCACCAATTTCTTCACGAATTGGTCTCTTAATTTTCACTTCCAGAATATGTAAATTCTCCTTTTGTATCTCAGACAAAGTGTAAGAAGCATTTTTTGGAGCATTTTCTAATACAACTTTTTCAACATCTTTATTATAGGAGGCTAGTTGTTTCACGAGTTCAAGAAAATTTCCTCGATTAGATGAAGACTCACTCTCGTCACGACCTCTCATTGGTAGTCCTTGTAAAGCTAGCCAATTTAATACATATATAGAGGTTTCAAGTCTAAGCCTATTATTAGTGTAACACCCATAACCTGCATAATTATACCTATACAGATTATGGATGTCACTCGAATTTTAAAACCATTTCTCATTCAAAATTGATTTAAAATTTATTTTCTTAAATTGGTAAATGATATTATACAAATATCATTTCATATGAATTGTTTTTCATTATAACAAATTTAATTCAAAAGATTTTTTTTATGAATAGTTAATTTCAGCATTATATATAAAAACTCATAAAATTACCATTTGTTTCTAAATTTGTTTAACAAAACAAATAAAACATTAATAATTACATGCCACTAATAAATTCAACATTACATCTTAGGATGTCTTACTAATATTAATATACACTCCTTGATGCTTGATGTAAACTTAAACTCTTTATTCCACTACTGGCTTTTTACCTACGCATGAAAATCATCACACACTAAGTATATACTTAGTGAGGTAATTAAAACTATAAACAGTGCAACCCCATTCATGCATAAATTTTCATGTCAAAATCAAAACAACATAATATAATAAAAATCATTTTTATCCACAACTATTGCCCACAATTCTCAATCTATGAGGAACCCGGTATAGGAGTCAAATTGCACAAAAATTGATGAGGTCGAGCATTGCTCACCTAATAATGCACCGTAGTGTTGAGGTCGGGTTTTGCCCACCTGACTTGTATTATGTATCTTATTTGACACTATAGTACTACTTAATTCTGCAGCTGCTAGACTCTATGATATGCCATTAATACCACTGAACCTCAATAACATATTTGGGCATATATTCATCAATTAAATCATCCATGGAAACGTATAACCATGTATAAACATTAGGGCAATTCATACCCAAAATAACTTCCATATCAAATCTCATGTTGATAAAACAAGGTCGACTTATCGCAAGTCTTCCAGATGATGTATAAAACATCTATGTACACGATGTATAAAACATCTATGTACCATATCATGCATGTATTGCACTCACCTTGACACTTCATACAATCCACAATACGTATACCTCACTACGATCCACAATAACTCTTTTATACTTGATTTGCTTCAATCACACTTAAATCACAATATGTATAAAATCACAAATTCATAACAATACTTATGTTAGTATTGTACTAACATAAACACATACCATAACAATTCTATAATATACTTAGAACTCATTTTCTACCAAATCTTTAACACTTAATAATTCCCTTTTAACAATGACATCAACTTTTCCAATTACATAAAATGGTTCTTCACCATTTTATCACTTAGATACATCATGATCAATATTTTATCCTTTAAAACTACGTTCTCATGATTTTGCTCAATTTTGATTCGATTCAAGCATGAAATCAACTTTAAATCAACCTTTTAACATATCTACTATCAAATCCCTAATCAACTTTCATCATAACACAAAGTTCTCCAACTTATAATTTAACCGAATTTTATATAAAAATCTCTAAAAATATTGAACATGTTTTAACCACAAATCAAGCTTGAAAACGAATCTACAACCTCTAAATCATCAAGATTTATCATCAATTTCATGAATCCTATCATGAACATAAACCCTTAGATTTGGGATCTTTGAAATCTAGCAAGATTAGAAAGAAATACTTGTACCAAATGATAGCGTTTTTCGTGTAGATTATTTTCCTATTTCACGGCATAACCCGAATTCCAAAGTAATCGACTCAAAAATGGAAAATAAAAAATTTTTCCTTACCTTGGAAGAACTCACGTGAAGATGCTGAAGAAGATGAACATTTAACATGATATTTTAGATTGATATCATGCTTATCTTCTTTTAAAATAATATTTAATTCATTAACTTGGAAAATACCAATTTACCCTTAATAAAACTTTATAATCACCATTAAACCAAGATACATATCATTATCATCTTCAAAATCAGATAAATATTAGCCTTATCATTTTTCAATAGTCAAAGATGAACAAATTTGTTTTCCACTTTACCGTTTTGCCCTTGAAATTTCTAAAATTTACAATTCAGTCACTTTAATCAAACAGTCCAAATTGAACGTGAAATTAAACCATTAAATATTATTTCCCAACATTTTAAAAATGTGAAAATAATATTTTTATTTACTTATTTTCGTGACCCATATGTAACTTTTCTAAAATTATATTTTGGTCCCTAAACTTTTCAAAACTTATACTTTGGTCACCAAATTTATAATTTGGTCACTAAATAAATTCATTTATGGAATAAAACTCTTTTTGGGAAAATTACCACTTAATTTTATAAACTTTTCTCAAATTTTCTACTTTGACCATCAAACTTTCAAAATTTACATTTTGGTCATTATCTAAATTTTTGGGGTATTACAATTAGGAATTTGTAACGATGTTTGCTTATACAACACTTGTGACAGCTGTCTAAATTGGTTAAGAAAATCCTTCAATTCTTGCTTAAGAATTTTATGAGGTGAATTAGGTTATGAACTACATGCATATTAAAATAACAACTTTTTCCATTTACTTTCTTCCAATTTCGAAAACCATTCATAGTGAAAGTCTTGTGTGATGGATAAC